CGACCGGAAGAGGGTTAAACAGATGGGAAGTCCCTGTTTTTTGAATGCGACATACATGTTTTCACTTCACACTCGGAGTTTGCGGAGAAAATTCGTAACTTTTGTTTTGAAACTTTTTGCTCCTAAGGGCCTTTTCAACCTCTAAATGACCTTCGAACTTTCACTCGTCCTGGATTTTTAAAGTGAACGAAAATTCTTTTATTGGAAAACAAAAAGATATGAATTACCGAGACTGGGATGTTCTATATTTTGGTCGTATCACGGTCGAAACCGAAAGTCGGTAATATGACCAAAAGACAGAGCATCCCCGACTTGGTAGTTCATATTTTCCGTTTCCCAATAATAAAAAAAAAAACCGTTTTCCTCCATTTTATAAGGAATAGACGAGTAGTCTAGGACATATAAAAAAGTACCTTTTATTTAATGAAGCGTTTCATGTTTTCCTTTGCAAGAACAACGAATCAATTTTTATTTGAGTTAGATTAACGCTCCAAAATTCAGTTTTTTAAATCAGTGCTTCTTCATTTATATTTTCTATCACAAAATTAAATTAAGTTCATTGCTTTTTTACAAAAAAAGATCTTCTAAGAACACGAACGTCGTGCAGAGAGCCCGGTTCGCCACAGTAAACATCTAAAAACTTTTTGTCTGCATCCACAACAACTTGCAACACCAAACGCAGGCGTTTTTATGGGTGCAGTCTATTGCTCCAATAACGTTGGGAATTTGTCGTTTTTCATAAAATTGGTCCTGTGGCCATAGGATGTATTCATGACTTATGGTTATAAGCAGGGAACTGATTTTTAGGATATAAAAACCTATAAAAAAGGCAAAATAAAATAACGAAATAGGCTACAAAAGGCAAAATAAAATAGCGAAATAGGCAGGTAAAGGCACTACAAATCGCAAAACAGGCAAAAGAAGGCACTAAAAAAGATAAAAACCGAATAATAATAAAAAAAATACATTTATTTTAGAAATGTTTTATTTTACAAGTAAAAAGAGAAAAACTTAAATATTTGACTATTTTCTCCTTTCGTGTTTTTAACTTACAAAACTTTAATCTCCATAGTTGTGGTAACATTGAACCACAAGATGCATTTTGAAGTTTTCTGGCAGCATTTTCATTCGATTTTCGCGAAGATAAACCTTGAAATTACTAAACGCGCGTTCTCCGTGAGTTGATGAGACAACTGGCGCTCAATTTAAATATGGAACGTTTAAAACCTTCATATTATCAGGAATAAGGGCTGTCTCCTTGCCCCTTACTACTAAAAGCCAGCATGCACCTCAAGAAAACAGACAAGAAACAAATTGCCATTATTTCGTGTGTGTGTCCAAGGAATTTTGACATATGATACTTCACATCCTGTTGCCTTGTGCTCTTTTTTCTCAAAACGACTTTAGAAAACCGTACTAGAAAGCGCAGCAAATTTCTTAAGAACTGCGTACTGCCTTAAGGAAATTTGACACAAGCAAATTTCTTAGCCATTTCTTGTACGTCATTTTATATGGAGTTTTTGTTTTTCTTGAGAGCTGCATACTGGCCTTTAAGGTAGAAAAGGCAAATATCTTAAAAAAGGCAGAAAAGGCAGCATAAAATGTTTATATGAGACATTCTTTTTCATATAGGACACCAAATTTGGTGACACACTTTCGATTGGCTTCAAATTTTTTTATGGGTTCTATACATGAAATAAGCGTGTCGAGGAATATTTTTTTCTTTTTCTTGTTTCTTCGGAGATATGTTCTGTCAAAGTTTGCATTTTTTCGTGATTCTGACTAATCATGTAGTACTTCAAATCGTTATATTTCGGGTTCTGGGCATCGTAGGGACTTAACGTCGTTTTAAGGTTAAAAAAAACGGACTTAACATTTCTATATATAAGGTGGTCAAGATTGTCCCAAAGCTAGCTTAGCTACTAACAGTTGAACTTTTTGAAAATGAATTGCATAGTGAAGGCCAGTAAATTAGGGATTTAAAATTATACTATCGTATTCCTTGTTTAATCCCTATAAAAAACATGTTTCAAATAAATTGGGCGTTTTTTTAAAACTATTTTTTAAATAATTTTTTAAGACGAGGTGCCTTTTTTTGTGAGAATCAAGATTTTTTTAAATTGGTTTTCGAAAACTTCTGAGATATATTTAGTAAGGTGTTAAACATCGGATTTTTGCAAGAATTTAAATTTTATTGCAGGTATAATATTTGTACGGCAAGATTTTTCTGCAAGGCGACAAACCCCTAGAAATGGGCGTGGCAATTGCAGGACTGAAATTAGCAAAACGCAGATTTTATTGCGGATTTCGACAGAATATCGTTTTGTTAACATCATTTGTTCCACAACTTCGGAATCCGCAATAAAATTTTACTTTTTGCAAAAGCCCGATGTTTAACACCTAACTAAATATATCTCAACATAATTTTTCGAAAAGAGATTCCAAAAAATTTTCGATTCTCACAAAATAAACCATCTCATCATAAAGAAAAGTATTTTAAAAATAGTTCTCCAAAAACGCCCATTTTTTTTAATTGGCGCAGCGTAAATTTGTGTATCCCAATGTATTTATGAAAGGCTGTTAGTTGTTAGTTCCATTTTACTAATGCTCTAAGGCGAAAAGCTTCCAATGTTACCGGATTCATCGGGCAGTTAAATAAAGATAATCATAATATTGTTATTGAGCTTTGTACCACAATTATTTTATTAGGGAAAATGGAACAAAGTCTAGTCCAATTTCAATAATTTTCAACGGTTTGCTTTTATGTGGCAAGCACAATAACCATACCGAGTTTGGTACAAATTGTTAAAACGGTTAACGATATACATATATGTGATCATAAGTGGGCGGTGCCATGCCCATTTTCCAAAATTTTATCATAAACGTATTTCTTGGTAAAGAATTGTTGCAATCATCAATTTTGAATAAATTAGCTTTAATATTTACTGATTTATCGAGGATTTCGTATTTCTCGAAATTACCGTTATATGGGATGTGGGCGTGGTTATTGTCCGATTTTAAAAATTTTCGGCCATTTGGTATGTTGTACCAGGGTCAACAACTGTGCCAAGTTTGGAAGAAATTGGTGCAGCGGTTACCAAAATATACACATGTGGGCGTGGCTACGCCCATTTTTCAAAATTTTTAATATTCTTATTTCTCGTCTAAAAGTTATTCTAAATGTCAATTTTGAGTGAATTATCTTCAGTAGTTACTAAAATATTGCAGTTTTCGTATTTCTGAAAATTACCGTTATATGGGAGGTAGGCGTGGTTATTGTCCGATTTCGCCCATTTTCAATACCATCCGTCCTACGCCCAAAAGAAGTGCATGTACGAAGTTTCGTTAAGATATCTAAATTTTTACTCGAGTTATCGTGTACACAGACGGACGGACGGACAGACAGTCACCGCTTAATCGATTTTTCTTTTCATTCTGATCATTTATGTATACATTTGTCTATATCTATCTCGATTCGTTTTGCCTGTTACAAACAACCGTTATGTGAACAAAGTTATTATACCCTTGTGCACAAGTGCGCTCGGTTATAAAAATGGAGAAGTTATAGCAGCTATTTCGGAGATCACCACATCTCCTCCTAATCAAGCTAAAAAAATATTTATCAAGTTCTTGGCTTTACCGCTGCTAAAACCTGCCGACATAAAGCAGGTTTTGGAAACTGTAGAAGCCGAAGCTTTTAGTCCACAATTCATAAAACAAGATATGAATGAAAGCAATTTTAAGACTTGCGTCATATATTTCAAACGTCAGTGGATGAATAAGATAAGCTAAAATTACTCTTAAATGATTCCTTTCAAAAGTGAAAATGAAATATTTGATTTAAGGAGGATCCTGAAAATTTTTCTATGTACAAAAAGCACATTACGACTAGCAGCTCTGCGGATGCTTTCCACAGCCAGCTAAGAATGAAACTGCCGAAACAACGAAACTTCTGTAGATTTCTAAACGTTCTTAGCGATGTAGATGCGGCAAAATCAATAGATTTCTTCAAATCAATCACAGGATTTATGCAAAGGGAAACATAAGTGGTTCAAATATCGTACCCATTTTATTCGTGAACTCATCTGCCAATTAAAACAAAAAAAAAATAACGTTTGCAGATATTCTCAACCAGCTTTCTATAAAAGAAAGCCGTATGTTTGCAGAAAGCTTTGTAAACGAGTTACAAATCACCGATGACGCCACTGAAGATGATATACATATACGAAGAGATGGTGCACACTGAACAAAGAGATCTCATATGTGTCATTTGCTGTAAAAAGACCAAATTTTTTGTTTTATTTCATGTAAGCATTGTAAATGTTGTTGCGATTGTTTCACCCGAGTAAAAGAGCGGAGTTTGCAGTCTGGAGTTAAAATATTATGCCCAAATTTGCCGTGCGATTCAAGATTCAATGATGATCTATACGTAAAGTGTTGTTGTAATTCTAATTAATAAATTTTGTTCCATTCTGAATAAGGTTTTTTGTTCGATTTTGTTAACGTGAAATATGTGTGTGTACAGGCTCTCAACAGTTGCCGATACTGAATTAAATTGAAGCAAAAGTGAAAAATATTTGAAAGTGATACTGTATTATTTAAATTGATACCCGTCGCCCCCCAACCCTTCTCCGCAAAAATTGGTTTTATGTTTTCCAACCAAATTTTAAAAAGCACAATAAAACCATAATGGCCTTATTTCCATTTCTAGTTGGAAATAACCCCGTATCAAAATTCGGTTTTATTTCCAAAACAAAATGGAAATAAAGCTATTATGGCCTTATTGCGCATGGTGTTATTGCACCCCACCCTCTTGCACATCCCATATATTTATAGGCACTCCGTATGTACTTTTAATAGTAAAGTAATTTTCGATATTTCACCTTCAGCATATACTCTTTAGTTCAACAGAAAAAAAAACTCGAAGATACATAAATGATACAAGTTTTAATATCATGCTAACTAGTCATTTTCTTATTAATGTATTTTTCCTCCAACAGTTGTTATATATAGATGTCGTGATATGGCCGATAGCTGTGGTATGTGCTTGGCTTTGGCTGAAAAATATAATTGCGGCTGGTGTTCATCTACAAATACGTGCGAAGTAGAAGAACAGTGTAACAAAAATAACGAAGGTAAAACCGATTGGTTGAATCGCATGGAAACTTGCCCAAATCCCGAAATACACTCATTTTATCCAAAGACGGGCCCGTGGGAGGGAGGCACGAATATTACTATACGCGGCATCAATTTAGGCAAAAACTTCACCGATATATATTCAGGTGTACGTATAGCCGGTATTAGTTGTATGCCTTTCCAGCAGTACTATATTGATACAAAGGAGATTGTGTGTAACGTGGATAGCCCGGGCGTTCAATTATATAGAAATGGTCGTATAGTTGTCCAAATCGGCGATTATAGAGGCGAATCTAAGGAAGATTACGAGTTTGTGGACCCGAAAATAACTAATTTCTCACCTCAGTACGGCCCTGTTTCGGGGGGTACGCATGTCCGCATAATCGGAAAATATCTGAATGCAGGATCACGAATCCAATCATTCATAAATGAGCATTTGCCGTGCGAGATAATGAGCGTAGATGTTACACAGGCTATATGTCGCACTGCGCCTTCACCAGGCATCATTGAAGGCAGACTTAAGATGTTATTCGACAACGGACAACGCGAGTTCAATGAATACAATTTTAAATATGTTCTAGATCCCACCATTGAACAAGTATCATCGGGTCCAAGTGGCCAGCTCAAAGTGCCACGAGGAATACCGGCCGGTGGTATTGAAATCGCAGTGGCTGGAACACAGTTTAATTTTATTCAAAGTCCAAGAATGTATGTTTACTACAAAAATAAGGTATTTTATAGTCAATGCAAGGTTGAATCAGCGACAGAAATGATATGTTTCTCACCTGTAATTGCAACTGATAACGATGTACTTGATGCAGAAAAACCGGAATTGCTTGAGTATGGATTCCTCATGGATAACGTGTTGCGAGTTCAAAATCTTTCTAGTAAACATAAAAATCATTTTGAGCTTTATCCAAACCCGTTGTATTATAATTTCGAAGAGCATATCAAATATTATAAAAGCGAATATTTAACAATAAATGGCCGCAATTTGGATCGTGCATGTAAGGAAACTGATGTTGTGGTACGAATAGGCAAAGGTATTTGCAATATAACTTCACTATCTCGCCAACAATTAACCTGCCGTCCACCACCGGAATCGGCTACTGAGTCTAGCAACGAACCGGGTCCAGAAGTTATTGTTCGCATTGGGCAATCGTTGGAGTATCGCATTGGTGTTTTGAGCTATGCATCGCCCAATTTAATGCACGATTTAAGCAAAAATGTACTGCTAGTGATTGGAAGCGGTACCGTCGTCATACTAATAATTTTTGTCGCTCTTCTTGTTGCCTATAAGAAGAAAACATCCGAATCAAACCGAGTTTTGCGGAATATGCAAGAGCAAATGGATATATTAGAACTTAGAGTAGCTGCTGAATGCAAAGAGGCCTTTGCCGAACTTCAAACAGAAATGACCGATTTAACAGGTGATCTTACATCTGGTGGCATACCATTTTTGGATTACCGTACATATGCAATGAAAATTCTTTTTCCAAATCACGAGGATCATATTGTATTACAATGGGAACGACCTGAATTATTACGTAAAGAAAAGGGCCTACGTCTTTTTGGGCAACTCATCATGAATAAAACATTTTTACTACTTTTTATTCGTACACTAGAATCGAATCGGTACTTTTCTATGCGTGAGCGTGTCAATGTAGCTTCACTAATTATGGTTACACTTCAGTCGAAATTAGAATATTGTACTGATATTCTGAAGACATTGCTTGGTGATTTAATTGAAAAGTGTATAGAGGGTAAAAGTCATCCTAAGCTATTATTGCGTCGTACGGAAAGTGTGGCAGAAAAAATGCTCAGTGCGTGGTTTACATTCCTGTTATATAAGTTTTTAAAGGAATGTGCCGGAGAGCCTTTGTATATGCTGTTTCGGGCAGTAAAAGGCCAAGTAGACAAAGGACCTGTCGATGCATGCACACATGAAGCGCGTTATTCACTTAGTGAAGAAAAACTTATAAGACAACTTATCGATTTTCGCCCAATGACGGTGTATGCAAGCATCATTCAACAGCCAATATTTTGCAATAGTATAGATATGATGCCAACTCATACCGAAAATGTTCCAGTAAAAGTGCTCGATTGCGATACAATTGGACAGGTTAAAGAGAAATGTTTGGATACGATATATCGTAATATTCCCTGGAGTCAGCGGCCGCGTAAAGATGATCTTGATTTGGGTAATAACATTGTTACTCAGAAATATTTCTTGTTTTGAAGTTTTGTTTTTAACTCTTTAGAATGGCGCACTGGAGCTAGTGGTCGCGTTATTCTATATGATGAAGATACAACATCAAAAACGGAGAGTGAATGGAAGAAACTCAACACACTACAACACTATAATGTTCCTGACGGCGCTGGCCTGAGTTTAGTTCCCAAGCAAAGTTCTAATTATAACTTTTCAATCCTGTCTGACAAAAATGAGAAATGTCACAAGTAAGTAAGAATATTTTATCGTTGCGGATGATAACTCTAACCACTTTAATTTTATTCAAGTTCGCTTTAGAAATTTAAGAAAAAAATCCGACGATGCCATGTTAAGGATCCAAAGGTTACAAACCGATTATCTTTTTTAAACCATTGAATAAAACGCGGCAGTTTTTGATTGCTTTCTTTTCACTAATACATAATTTATAGCAGCACTTTAACTACTTTATTAAAAATTGCTAAACGTCTAAAACCATCAACGGAACAGGAACCAGCGTCCAAAAACGGCAATTCTGATCGCACGATTACTCGTTTCGGATGTAATGAAGCAAAATTATTGATGTTTCCTAATCCAGTTTAAATTAACGCAGCGCACTCGAGGGCCTTCACCTCAACGTGTTACTAAGAATCGAGTTATATCGACCTTGAATAACGTGATTCGAACCCTTTGTTTTCAATTAGTTTGAAAATTGTGTAAACTTCGCTAGGTTTAAACATGCAGAACTTTCCAATTCTCAATTAACTGGATAAACTAAACAGATTGCTGGATGTTGTTGTTTTTGTAGCGGCTACTAAGCCCCGCTCGGGTCAGTTCATCCGTCAACGTTGTCGTCCGTTTCAGCTAGAGGGAAGCCCAGGAAGTGTGCGACTTCAACAGGGTCTGTCCATAGGGACAGGGGCGTCAGTTGGGTGGGGTTCTTAGGGCATGTGAAGAGGTGCCGAGAGTCATGTGGCGACTCTCCACATGCCGGGCATTGGTTGGGCACATCCTCATTAATTCTGCTCAGGTATGAGTTTAGCCTGCTGCAATAGCCAGAGCGAAGTTGGGCTGTTGTGGTGCGGGACTCCCGAGGCAGACAAAGTTCTGTCCCGTCCACGTCCGGTGGTTGTATGCCTAGAACGGCATTCACAGGGCGGGAGTCTACATAACTCTAGACTGATTCCCTGTGAATGCCGTTCAGGACCTGTCGGTAGGCTGACGGGTCCAGAGGCTGTAGAGATGTCTGTGGCTCCCCACAACGAACTGCTTGCAGAGCATTATGTTATGCTCCTTGACTGGGAGCATCTGGACCTCGTCGTGTAGGTGGTGTTGGGACGTCATCAGGAGGCATCCGGTCGCTGTTCGTAGTGCCGTGTTTTGGCAGGTCTGTAGCTTCAACCACTGCGTCTTGCTAGTCCCAGGCGACCACACGGGCGCTTCATAGTTAGAACCGGCCGGCCAATTGCCTTTTATGTTGCCAACAACGTTTCTTGATGTTTACCCCAAGTGCTGCCGGCCAGCGACTTGAGGACATTGTTGCGGCTCTGTACTTTGTTGACAATTGCGGTTGTATGCGCCAAGAAGGAGAGCAGACTGCCGAAGGTAGCTCCGAGGATTTTCGGGTTATTCACCGTCGGTATTGTTACGCCATCAACATGAATACACTGTTGCAGTCTGACCTGTTGTTGTTGTTGTTGTAGCGGCTACAACAACCCCGCCCAGATCGGTTGATACCTCAGTCGTTGTCGTCAAGTTCCACTAACGGCAGCCCTAGGAAGCGTGCAGCCTCCACCGGGTCGGTCCACAGGGAAAAAGGGGTTAGGNGTGGTGCGGGACTCCCGAGGCAGACAAAGTTCTGTCCCGTCCACGTCCGGTGGTTGTATGCCTAGAACGGCATTCACAGGGCGGGAGTCTACATAACTCTAGACTGATTCCCTGTGAATGCCGTTCAGGACCTGTCGGTAGGCTGACGGGTCCAGAGGCTGTAGAGATGTCTGTGGCTCCCCACAACGAACTGCTTGCAGAGCATTATGTTATGCTCCTTGACTGGGAGCATCTGGACCTCGTCGTGTAGGTGGTGTTGGGACGTCATCAGGAGGCATCCGGTCGCTGTTCGTAGTGCCGTGTTTTGGCAGGTCTGTAGCTTCAACCACTGCGTCTTGCTAGTCCCAGGCGACCACACGGGCGCTTCATAGTTAGAACCGGCCGGCCAATTGCCTTTTATGTTGCCAACAACGTTTCTTGATGTTTACCCCAAGTGCTGCCGGCCAGCGACTTGAGGACATTGTTGCGGCTCTGTACTTTGTTGACAATTGCGGTTGTATGCGCCAAGAAGGAGAGCAGACTGCCGAAGGTAGCTCCGAGGATTTTCGGGTTATTCACCGTCGGTATTGTTACGCCATCAACATGAATACACTGTTGCAGTCTGACCTGTTGTTGTTGTTGTTGTAGCGGCTACAACAACCCCGCCCAGATCGGTTGATACCTCAGTCGTTGTCGTCAAGTTCCACTAACGGCAGCCCTAGGAAGCGTGCAGCCTCCACCGGGTCGGTCCACAGGGAAAAAGGGGTTAGGCTTGTCGGGTTTTCCGGGCATGCGAAGAGATGTTTCGAGTCGTGTGGGGTCTCTTCGCATGCCGGCACATCCGCATTCAGTCTACTCAGGTAACCTGCTGCAGTAGCCAGAGCGGAGTTGGGCTATTGTTGTTCTTGTCTCCCGAGGCAGATGAAGCTCCGTCTCGTCTATGTCCGGTGGTGGTGTGCCTAGAACGGCATTCACAGGTCTAGAGTCTACATAACTCGAGACTGATTCCCTGTGATTGCCGTTCAGGCCCAGTCGGTAACCTGACGGGTCCAGAGGCTGCTTGATGAACCTCTGGACTTCGTCCGTAAGTTCGTATAGATGCCTCCTGACGTGCCTAGGCGAGGGCTCCTCTGCAAGCAGCTGTCTGTTCGGGTGATGTTCTGGCGACATCAGGAGGCATCCAGTCGCTGTCCTGAGTGCGGTTTTCTATACTGTGTGTAGCTTCGTCCACTGCGTCCTACTAGGCCCCGGCGACCACACTGGTGCTGCGTAATTTAACAACCGGCCGGCCTATTGCCTTCTATGCTGCCAGCAACGTTTCTTTGTCTTTGCCCCAAGTGCTGCCGGCTAGCGACTTGAGGACCTTGTTGCGGCTCTGTACTTTATTGACAATAGCGGTTGCGTGCGCAGAGGAGGAGAGCAGGCTGTCGAATGTTACTTCGAGTATTTTGGGATTATTCACCGTCGGAATTGGTGTACCGTCGACGTCAATTCCCAGCGGTAGCCTGACCTCCTTCGTCCAGGTTGTGAACAAGGTCGCAGAGAATTTCGTAGGGGAGAGGGCTAGACACTTTGCAGTGAAGAAGCGAGAAAG